GGGTGGTGGGGTGGTGAATACAGGCACAGAAGCATCCCCCAATTTCGATAAATAAGGCCACGGGAGGCTTCGGGGGATGGCAGTCTGATGACCCCGGGAGAAAGGTAGGTTAGGACAATTTTTCTATCATCATTGGAAAACCGGCCTTTTTGTCACATTATTTAGAGTACCCATTGTATCCTGTGATCGATCATTCAAAGCCCGCTAATTGCTTTCTGCAATTATTGTAAAACCTGCTTTTTGTTTTATAATTTAAGTTCTATACCTTCTGTGATTTTCACTGAATTTCAAAGCCATTTGGAGGTAACAAACCTGCTATTTCCTTCTGTCTCATGCTTCAGAATTTAGAATCAACCTAGTCTCTGTCTTTGGCTGAATGAGTGACAGGCAATCCTGGGCCCTCGTTCCTAGCACCACTGCCAGTGGGTTGATTCGGATTCATGGCAACCTATCTAGGGTTGCTAACTCTTTACAGGAGCAGACAGATTCATCTTTCTCCCATGGAGCAGGTGGAAGGGTGCAGCCACCAACCTTATAATCAATCAGCAGCCCAACACTGACCTGACAGTACCACTCGAGCTCGATATATGATTAACCACACACACACATTCAGTTGATTCCAACTTGTGAGCCTATATGTAGGATAGAGCCAAACTGCCCCTGTGGGTTCCTGACACTGTAACTATTTACAGGAGTAGAAAGCCTCATGTGTCTCCAGGAGCAGCTGATGGTTTTGAACTGCTGACTTTGCGTCTACCCACTCCACCACCAGGGCTGTCTTAGGCTGCGTTGTGTATCATTTCAACATCACACAGTCCGTTTGCATAGCACCTGGTGAGGGTGGAGCCGATGACCTGCCTCTCTTCCCCAGGGCTGCTGTAATAGAAACACCACAGGTGGGAGGCTTCGATGAACAGACCTTTATTTTCTCATAGCTCCTGGGTCTAGAAGTCCAAGTTCAGTGCATGGCTTTCATCGGAGGCTCTCTCTCGTCTATTTTAGCTTCTAGTAGTTCATGATCTTGGGCCTTTCTGGGCCCGTGGATTCATCATCTCTGTCGATCCGTCTTCCTCTTCCTTCCGGGTACTGTCATGCTCTTCTGCTCTTTGGCTAGCTCAAGCACGACTCAGCTTGGGCCCCACTCCCCTGTGGTACCAA